GAGAAGTAGGGACCTGCCAGAGACTATATGTATGGAGACTATGATATGTGACATGAGAGAGGGAGGCAGAGCCAAAAGAAGAAAGGATAAAGGAATAAAAATGTGAGAAAAGAGAAATATGATGTGGCCACATTGGGAGAAAAAAGATAATTACAAAAGAAGAGAGAACTGGAAACAAGAGGAATTTCTGTTATCATGCTTTTATAATTTATAGCTTAAAATATACTTTGGGGCGGGGGAGATGGCTTGGTGGTCTAAGCACCTGCCTGGCCAGCATAAGGACCCAAGTTTGATATCCAGTACTGCATAATGTGCTGGCCCTGAAATTGGGCATGGTGGTGCACAGCTGTAATCCCAGCTGGGGAGGCCGAGACAAGAGAATCACTACTAGTCTGAGCTGCATAGCAAAACCCTGTAGCAAATTAATATAAATATCTCTATCTATCTATCTATCTATCTATCTATCTATCTATCTATCTATTTTGTATATAGACTTCTACTTCATAGTAAACCTGGGCAGTAAGTAGACAAATACTACTGTTGTGACCTACGACATACACTCCGCAATTGTTTATCTCACAAAACAACCCCATATTTTCTAAAGCATAACTCAGGCTGGCTTGGCACTAAGGAACATGAGAAATACTAGTAAAGTTTGAAAAGAAAAGGTAGGGTTTCAGAAGTGAGCAATGGTGAGTAGGCAAACTGATATAAGCAGAGTGCAGGCTCCTGTGGAGGTAGGTTGGCACTGTCCAGATAGTCAAGGAAAATTGAAGCTTGTTTCAGATTGTATCAGTACCCAAAAGCTTCCTGTCTGGTGGTGAAGTACAGTAGCAAGGGAATCTGGGAAGAAATGAAGTTCAGTATTAGAAGAGCAGCATTTTAGCAGACAGAGCTGGAAGCCAATAATCAGAGGTACCAGTCTAACTTGCAAGAAAAAAGGCCCTTCAAGGGCACTATAAGTTGCTGGCTATCAGTGAAGTTGCCTTAAATTCAAGAAAGCCCTACAGCGTCAATGACAGAAATCAAGTTAATTAAGAACTGGGGTAGGTGGCGGCAAATGCCCAGTCATAATCCAAAAAAGGAGGGAAAAATCAGCAGGTTGGAGGATATAGGACTGTAAGTAGAGGGCAGATGTGATCTGACACACAGGGCTTGGTATCGGTTTTTTGACCTCATCAAAAACAGTAGAGATAAAAAGTTGACCCAGTAAGGGAAGCCAGGGACTCTTATATATTATCTCTACCTCAAGAGATGAAGTTCTGGACAATAACTTGGCTTAGTTTTAATAATGACAAAAGTTAATGTTTTTAGTGACATCTTCCTACTTTATCAGAAGCATGCTCATTTATCCTGAGAGCAACTCTGGAAGCAGGTATTACTTTTCTACCTATTTTGCTGAGGTAGACAGTGAAACTATGAAATTCCCAACTGCTTGCTTACCATGTTATTAGCCTGAAGTGTGAGACCTAATTCAAACTAAATTTATTTCCTTTGTTATTAAACATGACTTACCGCCTTATAAAGACAGAATACTGAGAAATAGGACTTTATATAGATGGAAGTAAATCTTTAATTAGTTTTAGTCACAGGCTGTCAGTCTTTTTCAATTCTTTAGGATGATCTGTTTTTGAATCTGAAAATGAGTATGTTTGTTTTGATCGTCCACCTCAGTTCTACTTTTTTTTTTTTTTTAATGCTATGAACTGAAGGCCAGTATTAGCTACACAGTGAGTTAAGGGCAGGCTGGCATTTATAGCAAGATCCTGCATTAAAAAAAGGTTTTATTTTTTTTTTAAAGTTGTATTTTAGTAGAGAAAAGAATCTTGCCAATACTCCATGGTTCAGCCTAGAATAAATGATTTAAATCACAAGTAAAAGCTTGTGCACCAGGGATGTAGTTCAGTGGTGTTGTGTCTGCCTGGCAAGCTCAATGTCCTGAGTTTGGTTCCAGTGTCAGGGAAAAAAAAAAAAAAAAAAAAAGCCTGTGGGCTATTAATGCCAGTCCAGGAAAAGGGAGCCATTCCTTTTGTTCTTAATGACTATGCTGTAAGTAGAGAATAAAGTTGGACTTAAAAAAATAAAAATAAGAAAACATTCTGAGAACAAGGAGAGGCAGCTGAGATAAATAACCAGAAGCAAATACAATGGGAGGGGGGAAAGGAAGCATGATACTCTAGAACTGAGGTATATGATTAAAGTGAATACATCCCCAGATCAAAGAGTTAAGAAAGTGTATTGACTAAGAACCTTCTCTGAAAGTTCTGCTGAATGATTTACTACAGGCAATAGAAAAAGTAAATAGAATAGGGAGACAGCTGCATGGAAGATTTAATAGCATAAACTAGTTTTAAGAATATGAAGCCTAAAATTGTTATATATAGGATGGTAGATCTAAATGCAAGACAGATTTGAAAGCTGGATCTAGAATTTTCAGTTTAGCATAAATACTGTTTTGTTTTTGCCATATAACATAAAGATGGATGTTGTTAAGCCATGTATATGTTAAACAGAAGTGCTTTGTCACTATAGCCAGTACAAGGTACACAAAAGACATTCTAAATGTCCATGAACCCAAACTGGAAAATGGTACTGTTTTAATTCCTTAAAATAAAATACAATTAATAAGTTTATGTTAATACTAACAATGTAAGGAGGAAATTTCCAAAGCACTAGTAAGAGAGGGTGCATACTGATTGGGAAAACCAGTAATTACTGCATTAGATGGTAGTTTGTAGAAGTTTTGTCATTAGACAAATTATATATACCTTGCAGGTTTTGTGATTGAAAACCCCCAAAAAAAGTAGAGAAAAAAAAAAAGCCAAAGAAGCATTAAACTTTGTATAAAGGTATTGACAGAAATACAGGCAAGTTATACTCACAAGTTGGTTAAAGTTCTAATTGAGAATAAAAGTTCATATTTAATTTAGATATATTTGTATAAAACATTATTAGTATATCACAATTTTTTTGTTTGTTTGTTTTTGTGGTCTCACTATACAGTTCAAGCTGGCCTCAAACTCCCAACAATCCTCCTGTCTCAGCCTCCCAAATGCTGGGATTATAGCTGTGTACCACCACACCGGGTTTATAACAATTATAGACTTCATAGTCTTAGCTGCAAGAAAACATTCAGCAAAATTCTCAGAGAAGGTTCTTGGGTGATATACTTTCTTAACCCCTTGGTATCTGAGAGTGTGTTCCATTTGCCTTTACACACAAATACTAATTTGGCAGGAAATAGAATTCTTGATTCAAAATTATTTTCTCTCAAAAGTCTGTAAGCACTGTTTCATTGTCTTCTGATATTTTAAATTGCAAAAAAAACAATCGAAGGTGATTCTGACTTTTGCCTCTTTGTAGTAACCTGCTGTCTGGATACTTGCAAAATTGTTTCTTCATGCTTAAAATTTAAAAGTCACAAGGATAGGCCTAAGTGTTGCTTTCTTCTAATTAAATTAAAGGAAGGGTGTGAGCTTTCTTCATTTTCCGGTCTACTTCATTCTTCAACTGTGGAAAATTTTCTTCACTTAGTTTGGTAATTACTGTCTCAGCTTCATTTTCTTTATCCTGTTTCCTATTACACATAGATGTATCTCCTGCACAGGCCCTCTACATCTCTTGTTTTCTCTGACTTTCTCATCTTAACTTCTTTGGACTTTTCCTCTGCATCCTTTGAGATGTTCTCTACTTTCCATTTACTGGACGAATTTACTTGGTAAGTGATCCTTCTGTGTTTCCTTTAAACAGGGCTCTACCCCTTCTATGTGGTCATACAACACCTACTTTACAATCAAGGTCAGGTGGGTAAGGAACTGTATTAATAGTCAATAATTTCTGCAGGTTTGCTGTAGATTGGTAGACTGCAATAGTCCAGAAAATTGGAGTATATCAAGAGGAGGCATTTTCTCAATTAATTAGTTCCAGTCCTTTCTTCTGATCTGTGGTCTTATTGATGTAGCAGAATGAAATTCCAAACCTGAAAGATAGCTGGGATGAGTTTGTGTTCTTTAAAACTGAAGAATGAATGTTAGGAACATGGAGGTTAAGAGAGAATGTGTTTATTGAGGAAAAGAAGGGGACCTGAGTGGGTTGCCAAGAAAACTGTATTTTCTAGGGATTTTTATACAGCAAAACTATGAGTTGAGGCGGGTCTCGGGTAGAAAACATGAGCCCTCGCAAGGTGGGCAAAACTATGATCAACCAATAAGACTACAAGCACATTTGCTTAGATGAAATTGATTAAATCTGTGATCAAATGGGGAAGCCAGTGATGTAGCAAGCCGCCATGAATATACAGCAGGGGCTTTTCCAGTAGGACGCTGGGTTAGTGGCTCTTTCTGGCTTTCTCAAGGTGATAGAGACCTATTTAGAATATCAATTCCTGATGATTATCTTTAAGGAGGTATGCAGTTGTTTGATCTTTTGTCTTGAGTGTTTGTCTCTCCCACTGTTGCAAACTATCTGGTCTTCCATTCTAGTTCCCTCTGAGAGCCTAGCCCAGTCTGACTGCCTATAGTATTTTTATCAACATTATAGTTATACCTTGAAAATAAACACACCTATAATCCTCCATAGTATCACTGATTCCAAAGATTCCCATTGATAATAATTCATGATTTTACTTAAATACTTTTTTTTTCTTACCTTTTCAACTTTTCCCAATGGGGTCCAAGCAGTCTTTGCAAGCTTTTAAGTTGAGGAACCAAACCTGATTCTTTACGTCATTTCTGCGCGACTCGCGTTAGGCCCAATAGCTCAGCGTGCAGCTCGCCTTAAGGAGCCTCTCTAGTGCCTTAGTCACTAGCACACCGAGCCCAAACCCCCGCCCTTACATCCCTGGCGTCTAGCCCAGCCTAGGGACGATTACGTTGTACGCAGGCGCTCAACACTACATTCAACGTTCTCATTCTTCCATTGGCTTGATTTATATCCGGTCCTGCCTTGAAGGCGGGGCTAAGCCCCGGCCGCAGCCAATGAAATCCCGGGTGAGAGTTGAGGGCTGCAAGGCGCCTGCCAGCCCTTGCTGGAAGCAATCTCCAGGGTGAGTGTCAGGCAACTTGGTCGTAATGGAGGCATCCTTGGCCGAAGAGCTGGATGAAGAGGAGCAGCTCGTGAGAAGGCATCGCAAGGAGAAGAAGGAATTGCAAGGTGACGGGGAAGGAAATGGGAAACGAGAAGTCGTCCAGGCTCAGGGAAGGGCGCGGAGCGGGTTGGCTTGGGGAATCTTGAAGGGAGAATGGCTTGGATCCTCTCAGACTTTTCCAGAGTGGTAAATATTCTCTTCTCCGTCTCCGTCACCCAGGCAGCCCCTCATCCAGCAGCCTTCACTGGCTGCCTCCCAGGCATGACGCGAGACAGGCCTGGACCGTGACCGGCCCCTCCCGTGGGCCTTCTGCCCCCTCCCCGCGTCCGCCTCCTCCCACTGCTTGCTTTTCTCAGGTCTGCCCCTCCTTTCCATTCCTCCGTCCCTGCTTCCCATTCCTGTCCCAGGTACGGACGGACGCTTGGCCCTAATGGGTGGCTTCTGAATTGTCGCACCTTGGTTTTCAGGGCTGAGAAGGATATTTGACAGGTTAGAACTTGCTTCACTCCACTGTTTCCATTTTTTACCCCCTCCTGTCCAGGCAGACCACCCGAATTCAAAGTTCTTTAAATGATTAATTTTTGTTTTCTTTTGTTTGACCTCAAGCTTCACCTGGGCTCTTTGTAGCTCTTAATGTGATGACTTCTTGCTTTCCACAATTTTCCTGTCTATCTATCGTTCTCCTATCCCCTTTGTATTCTCTTATTGGTCCTGTTTCCTGTTTTACTTATTCCTGACTTTCTGATTTAATAATTTTGTTGGCTTTTTTAGCTAAAATTCAGGGTATGAAGAATGCTGTTCCCAAGAATGACAAAAAAAGAAGGAAGCAACTCACTGAAGATGTTGCAAAGTTGGAAAAAGAAATGGAACAGAAGCATAGAGACGAACTGGAGCAACTGAAGCTGGTTGCCAAGGAGAATAAGGTATGTGAAATATTTGTCTTGCCTATAGTATTTGCAAACAACTGTCTTGTTTTAAATTGATTATATCAAACCATAAATTGGTAGGGAAATAAAGTTGTTTAGTTATGTTCGTGCATTTTTAGTTACGCTTTATCAGTTTACTTGACTACAAGATGAGCAGGTTGACACAGTGTGCCATAGGAAGTGTCTCAGTTACTTTTCTGTCGCTAGGACAATACCTGACACCCAAAAGAAAGGAAGGAAAGGTTAATTAGCTCACATTTACTGGAGGTTTCAGTCCATACTAAGCTGGCTCCAAGCAGAGTGGCACAGGGCAGAGACCAACCTTTCAGGGCAGCAGCAAAAAGCAGAGAGTGCAAAAGGGAGGAGTAGCAGCAGCAATGGCTACTGAGAGCAAGTCTTTCTCCTACTTACATTGTCTTCAAGCTATCTGCCCCAAGCTAGGTGGATCACTCACACCCATAATCCCAGCCTTGGATCATGAATTAATCTCAGACTCTGGAAGTCCCATCTCATGACTGCATGAGGCTTTGCAGGGACAACTAGACACAAACCATAACAGGAAGCTTCCAATGAAAGTTGGAAGAGCACACCTCTGGTTTCACAATTGTCACTAAATAGCATTACATCCTTGGCAAAGTTACTTAATCCACCTGTTCATAAATTGCCCCACATATAAAGTGATGACACAAGTACTTTTGCTGTCTAATCACAGGTTCTTACAAAGGTCACAACTACTGTGAAATCATTTTAAAATTTTATTTTAAATACATTTATTACAGTTTTCTCATGAAGCAAAAGATAATAAACAAAATTTTGCAGATTTTTTGGGCTACGTGGGAGCATGATTTTTACCATTTTATTTTTTTTTTAATTTTTTTCCCATAATTTTATTGAGAAACAAATAGCAATGAGACAGTTTCAAACCAAATTGGTAGGACAGTTTCAATAATTAACACATTGCATACTGTCTTCCTAGTGGTTATTTGTTGTACAGGATGCGGACTTGATATTCTATTTACAAACACTATTAGAACAAATCCCTCTAAGAGAATATAACTACATGTCTATTCTAATGATTTTGAATACACAGATACAAAATGGACATTCATCTGTATCCCCTTTTTTTGTTTAGTTCCATCATTTGAATATTACAGGTATGTTAACTCAGCAAAATATTCTAAAAGAGTCCAGTAGTCCATAATAGTATTGGGTCTTCCGCTTGACTGGCAGTGTCAGAAATTGTTGACCAGAGTCCCCTACAGCTCAACATAAAGCATGGCTTTACTTCTTATACTTTGTTTTTATACTTTTCTGCTGGATGGTTAAGACCAAGATAAAGCAAGACCTATGCAACAAGAGTTGTAGCTTTTGGGTCTGATAAGGTTAGTGAAATCCCCTCAGGATTTATCCTGAGATCCTGTACCTCAGATTGTAGATCCTTTGTTAGTGTCAGCCATGCGGATGAGTCACGGACTTATTAATCAGTAGTCAAGGTTCTGGTCTTCCTTGCCTTTAAGATACTAAACTGTAGCTATAGAAAACAGGGCGCCCTTCTTGAGGTGTTTGTTATTATTGTGATATTCCTAATTGCTTCCCCCTCTTTTTTTCTTTTTTTTATTAGCAAGTTGTTTGCTGTCTGGGGCCTTCAATTTCAAGGACAAAAATGTTTGATTCTGAAAGTTGCATATTTTCTAATGGTTGAAATACAAGCTTTTGTTCTACTTTGAACTCTTACGTTTTTCATTACCTTAAATTATTTTCAACCCTACATAAATTTTTATGTCTTTGCTTTTTTGTTTTTCAAGTACCTCTTTGTATCTTGCCTGTTGTCAGTATGTGAATAACAGAATCCTCTGACAAGTCCAGAGTCCTAATTTCAATAACATTGGAAACCATTCTTTAAAGTCTTTATCTGATTTTGATATTTTGATTAGCCTTTGAAAACTACTGTCTTTGTGTAATAGAGGGTTTAGATTATTTTAGAGTCATACTAAGAGCTTACTTGCAGTAATAAAATACTATTTATCTCAATAGAAGTCTAGCATCATATTTTCTCAGCAAACATGTAGTTGCCATTTGAGTTTTAGAATGGGTTGTATTCTCTAATGATATCATAAATGGTATTTACTACCTGATAGGAAAAGATGAGAAAAGTTCTACAATCAGTGCTAATAGGATGGAGAAGAGCTTCTGCCCAGTTTAAGGTTCTGCAGTTAGTAATGGACAGGACCTGTATTTTACATTGGCTCTTAACCTTCAGAGGTAGGAGGGGTATAGTCTTGAATGAATTGGCTCTCATGTAGGAAGTAAGGTACTTCCTGTTGATAGAGTGGATGTTCTGAGAAGGAAAATATGCAGAAATGAACATTATCTTTGAAGAATTATAAGGAAACTTGATGGAAATCTGACAGATTCTCTCATAAAAGTAAAGAAAGGAGATGAAGCCATATTATGTATTTTGATGTCTAGTGTTGTTACTTAAATTTAAAATGTAGGAGTCCATGTACTTATGATTTTCAACAATAATTTAGTTATCTAATGTTTTGAAAAATACCATCAAAGTTTTTTTCACTGACTTGATAATGCTATTCTGTTTCCTTTAGATAGATTCTGTTGCTGTTAACATTACAAACCTGGTACTTGAGAATCAGCCACCTCGGATATCAAAAGCACAAAAGAGACGGGTATGAAAGTCATGTCAACAAGTATATAAGATATATTTATATAATTCTGGGGTCTTTGTACCAGACTACATCTCCAAACCATTTTTAAGTTTTATTTTGAGATAGACTTACTAAGTTGTCCAAGCTGAGCTCCAACTTCTAATCCTCCTGGTCAGCCTCCAAGAATCCTGGGATTACGTACCTGTGCCGCAAGGCCTGGTTTCAATACAGTCTTAGGTATTGCGTAAGGAGGGGATTTTAAAAAAAAGACCAAAATGATGGCATTCTTTGTAAACAACTGAAACTAATATTAAGTACTTGATATGTACCAGGTACTGTGCTAAGTTGTTTATGTGAAATATGAAATCTCATTTAGTCCTGATAGTAATCCTAGGAAATAGGATATTTTAATCCCCATTATATAGAAAAGAAGCTAAGCCTGAGACATTATAAGATGTCATTATGCAGGGGGCTGGTGATGTAGCTCAGCAGACTAAAGCACCTGCTTAGGCAAGCTTAAGCAAGCACAGGGACTGTGGTTTCCATCCCTGGCACTGCATGCTGTGCCAGCCCTGCCCTTAAGGCAGGCTGAGCGGGCCACAGAAAAGTCCAGGCATAGTGGCATACACCTCTAATCCCAGTGCTAAGGAGGCTGAAAAACAGGAGGATCGCTATGAGTTGGAGCTGTGTAGTGAGACTCTGTAACAACTAAATACATTAAAAAAAAAAAAAAAAAGATGTCATTATGCAGTTCTCTTAGGAGGGTTGGGTCAGGGAGTGCAAATGAATCTTCTTCAAATAAATACGCTGTCCTAGACTCTGTAGACTCTTTAGAGTATGGGCTCAGGTGACCCTGATGTCTGATGTGCAACTCTTGTTAAAAACTGGTACTGAATGAGGAAACAAGGATTTGAAGCTGAAGTTAAACAAGTTTATAAAGAAGTATAAGTATACAAAATTCTCAGAGAAATCTCTAGGTATTTATATAATGATTAATTACAGTAGAAATTCAGAGAAAGGAAAGTTTGTTGTGTTAAATGATGGGTTGGAATTTGAAGGAGTTATATTTAGATAGGTTAGTTCAAGTTGGAGAAAGAATCTATTAAAACAAATGTAGAAGTACATTATTGTGTTAGTAGAGAGCTAAGAAGAAACTGGTTTATTGAAAGTAGTGACTTAATGAGCTTAACATTATGGGAATGAGATTGCCTAAGCAAAGCCTTTTGACTTTCAAAAAGACATTTAAATTCAACCTTTTACTCTCAAAAATTTTACTAAGACTTAAATTTTGTAGATATTAAATGTTGATTTTTTAAAACTAACTTTGCATCTTATCATTGAGTAGTGTATAACTTAACAGAGTGTAGAGCAGATGAGAGTTTTTTTCTTTCTTTCCCCCTTTTTCTTTGCACTGCTGGAAGTCAAATCTAGGTCCTGATGCCTGTTAGGCTACTGTTACAAAGGCTGATGTTCTACCGTGATCAACGATGAGGTTTTAATTTCCCTTGCTTGCCTAAGATTCTTGAAGATTTTAAAGCTTCAGTTATGTATCTATAAAATGTGGGAAAATGATACCTATTTTATTAGGTTATTTAGGACATTAAATAATACATTTTTGCCAGAGTCCTTAATACAAAGGCTAGAGAACTAATAGGTAAAGAAAAGATAGAATAATTTATTGTGTTATATATAGTATGCCTTATGAAAATTTCATCCTAAAAGCAGTGTCTTTTTGTTTGAAACTTAATTGTAATTGTCAAACATTTTTTGTACTTGTGTAGTATTTTATTTATTTAATTTTAGTTTTAATGAGACAGAGTCTTATTATATAGTTTAGGCTAGCCTTGAGCTCATTATGTAGTACAGATTGGCCTTGAATTTATGGTACTTTTTCTGCTGCAGCCTCCTGAGTTCTGGGACTAAAGCATGCGCTGCCCTGCCCAGCAGCATTTTTTTTTTTTCCTGAGTAAACTTCGTGGTTGTGAATTTCAATCAAAAGTTGAGATCTTACATCTAGTTTGATTCCTTATTTATGATATGCATTCTTTAAGTGATGGCCTGCAATTGTTACCTAGCTTTTATGGATCAAAATGGTCAGAATTTATGCATTCCAGTAGCATAACTTTTGGAATTGTTAGGTATTGATACAGCTCATAGTATCTGACTTAATTCTGGAAAGCATAAGGGGACCACTGATTTCTGTCTGTATCAAAAGTTGTTTATCTCCACCTAAATCCTCAGGCAACAGCACAAACAAAAACAAAACTCCCTTACCTTGCTCAGACATTTTGTTACTTTCTTTTAATTGATATAAATACCCTTTCAACTATACTTTCAAAAAGTTTAATATTTTTTGTAGTCAGTTGCTTTTCACTTGGCAGAGAAAGTGCCCGGAAGATATATAATTACTTATGCTAATTGGATTGTGAAACAGAAAACACTAAAAGTTTATAATAGTTCAGAAAATAGAACCTGAAAATAGGGTGAACAGTTGTTCAAGTTTTTCTTTTTTTGGTGCTGTGTATTAAACTCAGGACCTTCAGGACCTTGCACTTACCAGGCAGCTGCTTATGCCACTGAGCTATCTGCCCAGGCCCAGGGTGGATTATTGGATATTAGATTATTTGAAACGTCTTCCTCTTCTTCCTTTTTTTTTTTTTTTTTTTGCTAAAGCACCAAGAAACAAAATGGCAGTCGATGGTTTTTATCTTTGTGAAAGATACAACTCTCAAACAAAATTTATCTAACATTTATTGTAAGAATATTGTGAAATACTTTAGAACACATTTTACTTTTAATCTGAAAAAAGAAAATTGGCTATTTGATTTGTTTCAAAGGACGTGGAAGCTTTTTGTTCTGGTTGGAAGTGTCCAAAGTAGAAATTAGAAGAACTAGGCTTATGGAAGTTAATAGAATGAGATGTAGTCCATGTGCTTTATTTTACAAGTGAGAGAGATGAGACCCAGATGATCTTTAGCATACTGAAAGTGGGATGCAAACCCGGACGAGTGCCCCGCTCTTAAGATTCCCCTCTGAGTTATTTTATCGATGTGCTAGGTTTACTAATACTATATTTATGAGTTCCATGCTATTTTTCTTTTTTATGCATTTTCATTAGACATTGTTGATTTCATTCTATCTTCAGGACTGGTAGAAAACAAAGTGCTATTGGGACACTGCATTGCACAGAAAAGAATCCAATGAATTTCCCAACTAGTATGCCAGAAAGGAAACTCATTTGCCATGTGATACTGAAACAAAGAATGAGGGACAATAAATGAAATGATCGGAATTAGTTATTATTGCCTTAAAAGATTTTGCAGGTACAATAAACTTACATTTTTCCAATAAAAATATGTGACATCATTAACTCCAGCTGCCATCTGCTCCGATCTTTATTCTGATTTAGGTGCCTGGATAGAAGGAGCTCTGTGTTGTCCTTGGTCCCCACTCTGCTCTAACCTGCTGTATGGCCTTTGGAAATCTTTCTGCATGCTGTTTCCTCAGAAGAGGAAAATGAGGGGTTTTGGATTAGATGGTGTCTAAGGTGCTTATTTTTCCTCTCCCGTCTGAAGCTGTTATTTAGTCTTTTACAAAGTAATAGTGCCATCTTGTGTTGTAAGATTTTATTCATGCCTTGATCTAAAGTTGTAGATATTCAGTGAAATAAATTTGTTCCTGTTTTTTCCGTCATGCTTACATGTATAAGGAAAATCCTAAATAGGCTTACGTTTTGTAAAAGAAACTACTGTTTTTGTTTCAGGTAACTCAGAAATCACTCGAAGTTTGTTTCATGTGGCACAAAACAGGCAGCCACTGCAGGCAGGTGGCAGTGAGGTTGAACTGAATTTGCCTTCCCAGTTATATTCCTCAGCCCCAAGGAGTAGAACGAGGGGCAGGAAAGTCTCCCTTTCTATGCTCTTGGTTTACCTTCTCTTTCACTATAATTTATTACTTATATCAAGATACATAGAATTTACTTTAACAGTCTGTTTTCTTATGTTGCAGGGCAGTTTCCTTTTAAATGTACAAGGAAGGCGTAGTCATGGTAGAGAATCAGAAAGATAAAGGAAAGCACATAGACACACATACAGCCACAGACAGACACACACGCACATGCTCAAAAAATTTTATAGTTCTATCGAGAAAATTTATTGTATATTTTATTGTATCTTTCTCTTTTTTTAATGATAGGTAAGCATAGACTTTATATTAATCACAAATCTCTTTTCTGTGTTTTGTCTTTCTTTCTTTTTTTTTTTAATACTTTGTAAATTCTATTAATCACATACCTGGGACTGGGGAGATGACTCAGTAGAATAACAGCTTGCCTGGCAAGCTCAAGGGCCTGAGTTCAATCCCCATTCTGCAACAACAACAACAAAAAAATCACATACCTATCTCTTATTCCCAACTTTGTCTTTTGATCCTGTTTCTGGCACTCTAGCTGTGTTAATTATTTTTAGCTGTGAAATATGTGGTATTCTCACTGGCTTATGATCCTTACTAGTTTAGCTATCAGGGCTTTTCCTTCTCCCCTGTAACCTTCCTACTCCATTCACATCACAAATGTCTCATTAAAAAACAAAGCAAAACCGAAAAACCCCAAATGTCTCATTAATCTTATCCAGCCCATTCTTAAATATCCTGCCATGGGTAGCTATCTGAAGGTGTATGGAGGAAACTGTAGAATGTAATATGTGACACCATTTTTGTTATAACACATGGTACACATGTTCTGGGGTAAACTGTATTTATTAAAAGCACAGAAAAAGTTTGGAAGGGTACACACAAACCTAGCGAGAGTACTATTTGGATTGGTGGTGATACTTAAGGAAAAACTTTGATGTACTTGTTTGTTTTTTGAATGTTTTTACCTTTTACTTATTAAATGTATATATATGGATAGATGTATACTTTATTTTTAAAGCAAGATAGATGCAGTGCATTGTAAAAGCTTTAGTATATTAATACCAAGTATGATGGAATATTGAAGTTGGATTGGCCTAGGCTTAAATATGATAATAGAGTGAGTTAGAGCTTAAGACAGCTAAGTTTTAGGACACTATTTTGAAATTAGCAAGAGAAGGAACTTGACAGGTAGTTTTTGTTTGTTTCTTTGGTTTAGAGACAGGGTCTCACTATAGTTTAGGCTAGCCATTAACTCTTTCTGCAGCATAGGCTGGCCTCGAACTCGTTGTGATCTTCCTGCCTCAGCTTGACAGGAAGATTTAAATAGACTTCTTAAGAAAGGGCTTCTGATGTCTCAGTACAAATATAGTTGCTGGGAACACACAAATCAGAGGGGTAGTTTGCCCTAAAAGATGTTTACAGTATAGGAAATTCTCTTAAGTAAATGATAAGATAATCAGCATGATAACGTTTATGGAAAAAGGGAAAAAAAATGACAAAACATGTTAAGACTCTCATTCTTTATTCCCTTAATAAATGAGAACCATTCCTAATTATCATGAATTAACTTTCCTACATTTTCATCTTAGGAAAAAAAAGCAGCACTGGAAAAGGAGCGGGAAGAAAGAATAGCTGAAGCTGAAATTGAGAATTTATCTGGAGCCAGACATATAGAAAATGAAAAACTTGCTCAAATATTGGCAGCCAGAGAGTTAGAAATCAAGCAGATTCCATCTGATGGCCACTGTATGTATAAAGCCATTGAGGATCAACTGAGAGAACAGGACTGCGCTCTGACTGTGGCTGCTCTACGAAGTCAGACAGCTGAGTATATGCAAAGCCATGTGAATGACTTTTTGCCGTTTTTAACAAACGCTAATACAGGAGATATGTATACCCCAGGTAAGTTGGTGAACCACATTTTATTAGTGGTTGTGGTTTTAAAATAAGGCGTGCACAGGAAGAAGCCTTACGACCCTTATGAGAACAGTCTATCACAGTTCAGTCAGAATGTAGCTTGAATGGATGCTGGCACATTTTACTTTACTTAGGTCTCTTAAGCACTTAACCATTCTTTAGTTAAAATAATTTCTTTTTTTTTTTGGCTTTCAAATTGTATTTGAGTTTGTTGGTGCTCACAAATCATTAAGAACTTACTTTTTGGCTCTACCTAAAGTAACCCCAGTTGTGTAGACACTGAGATCTGCTGATGGTACGAGAAATTTGGGGAACGGACAAATCCTTGAGCAATAATTTTCTCACTGAACCTTTGTGGCTGTGTATACAGAGTCCTTCTCCATATTGGACTTTATGGTTTCCACATGAAAGAAATACAGAAGCAAGTTTGAAATTTGCTGATAACATGAGACAATATTTCAAAAAGTAATTCCCATCTCATTCCCTTAGATTTCTATTTGCTGATAACATTTCAAGAAGAAAGGTGATGTTCATTTAAAACACACTATGAGAATAAATATATATTCAACAGCGTGACTATGACAATGATTATTACTACAAAAATCTTGAATATTAGGAATACAATATGTTATAAACACATTTATAGCCACTTCATCTTCCCCTTTTCAGATTGAATATGTGGTATTTTTTTCCCATAATTTTATTGACAGACAAATAACAATGAGACAGTTTCAAATCAAATTGGTAGGACAATTTCAATAGTTAATACATTGCATACTGTCTTCCTAGTGGTTATTTGCTGTATAAGATGCAGACATGATATCCTATTTACAAACACATTACAACAAATCCCTCTATTCATTAAGAGAATGTAACTATATATCTATCTTAACCATTTTGAATACACAGATACAAAATGAACATTCATTTGTGTATCCCCTTTTTTGTTTAGTTCCATCATTTGAATATTATAGGTGTGTAAACTCTCAGCAAAATATTCTAAAAGAGTCCAGTAGCCCATGATAGTATTGGGTCTTCTGCTTGACTGGCAGTGTCAGAAATTGTTGACCTGAGTCCCCTACAGCTCAAAATAACAACACAGCTTTACTTCTTATACTTCATTTTTATACTTTTCTGCTGGATGGTTAAGACTAAGATAAAGCAAGACCTATGCAACAAGAGTTGCTATTAAAATAATTTTTTATAATAATTTTTTAAGATAATAAAAATAGGATTAATCAGTATTGAAAAAATTCCATTAAGTTTATACTTAACAAGGTTATTAAGCATAAAGGTTAGTAAACTTTGATTAGTCTCTGGAAGCGAACAAGAAGAAAATGATTATGAAAACTGATTTTTTTTTATCCTATACTTTCGAAAATTTGTTATTCTCAAGTTGTAATTAGGAAAAGTACTAATTTTGTAAACTTTGATATTACAAAAGCAAATGAGTTAACCTACCTTATTTGTTCTAGTACTTTCGATGTTTAGGATAAAATACTGAAGTGAGCTATAAAAACACAACTAGCAAATGAGGGGGAGAGCAAGTAAAAATCTGAAAGGATTTTGGGAAGATAAAGAATAGAGGAAAGTTTGACTTTGGGAGCTGACTGCACCTTTTGCAGTATTCTCTCTGGACAAGAAAGGTGTTTATGGCTCATTTTACCTGCTGTGTAAAAAGGAGTATGAACAAAATATGTACATTTTAAACTCAGAATAGATCTTTTACTTTTAGGGCTGTTCTGAAAATCCCTTTTCTTGGCTAACACAGATATCATACAGAATACATATAATTAGTCTTTCACGTAATTTTGGGTACAGGTTTGGGCCTCAAAACATGTCAGAGTGGTCAACACGGTGGCTGTTTTGAGGGCTGTCACTGGGTAAAGGCAGAAATGTAGGTGTGTAATGTATGGGCCTCGAGGTGAGAGAGATAAGCAGGAATGGTTTGGTTTTTGATGAAAAAGTGATGAAAAGTTGGGTGACTTATGTCTGAACCTGGGAAAGAGATTAATTGTGGAGGGAAGTGAGAGAAGTGCATAACTTGGACATTTTTATCAGGGATTGTGGTTGCTATTAAGGGGTTCTCATGTCAAGACTTACACAACTTAACTTACTGTCTTTTCACGTTCTCTACAGAGGAGTTTGGAAAATACTGTGATGACATTGTGAACACAGCTGCGTGGGGAGGTCAGCTTGAGGTATGTTTGTGATTATTCATACCCAGTGTGGGTTGTGAAATGATTTCTGAATCTCTTCTGTGGCATCCAGATACTTTTAACTGATTTCATTTTTTGTTTAAAGGTTGCTTTTCTTTATATCTGTACCATGTCTCTAGTGAAAAAGAAATGGGAAGGTAACTTTCCTTTGCTTTTGACTAAAGTATGTACCTGAGTAAGTGAAGCATCATTCCACTTTAAATAGCTCAGTGTTAGAGCTGTGTGTTGGAGAAGCAGTGTTCATCTGTGTAAGTTTTCAGGGGTGATGCTGCCACTGTGTTCAATTTTCTGTACTTAAGTGAAGATTTACTGAAGGCAAAATTTACCCTCATGAATCAGCTATTGAAAATCACAATAGGTAAAGTATAACTATGGGAAGTTACAGGACAAATCTTATAGCACATCTATTTCAAGTGTTAATTTGAATTCTTGTTGATGGTGACTTACTTGAAAGCAGGAGTTGATGCGGTAAAGTTGACATTAAGAAAACAATTTGTCGGGAGTTAAGATTTTTTTTTTAGGACACATTTTAAAAATCTTACTGTTACTTTTGTCTCAGAATAGAATAAAACACCTACAGAGTCCCATGGCAATGAGGAATCTGGAGTTTAGAAAGAGGTTAA